GCACCGGTTCACCTTCCCCCTGGATGGCAGGCTGTTGCTCCCACCAGACTTTTGCAGTGCTGCCAGCTGCCCTCTCCAGCCCTTGCCTGTCTGCAGGGAAGGGCTGGCACGGATCTCCACTCCCAGCAGCCAACGAAATTCTGGAGGGCAAAGCTAAATCCTATTCCAGGGCCCTGCATGCCAGCAGGCACAGTCTGACCCTTCTGCTTCCTTAGCAGATCCTTGAATACATTTACAACAAGAAACAAAGCAAGAAGAATCATTGTGAAGTACCAAAAACCTTTATTTTTCCCCCAAACCATAACAACATTTGACATTATATTGATTTCCTCATATATTTGTTATTTCTCTACGTTAGGAACCAGATACAGAAAATACAAACACGATCTGTTGCATTAAAGACGGCACAGCATTCCGTTAGAAAAAGAAACAAAAAACTAGAGGAGCAAGATAAAAATGGTGAAAAATAGTCATTCCCTCCAGCCCAAACTTTCCAAGAATCATCATCAAAATAGAGCAGTGGAAGTAGCTTCTCTTTCTAAACGCACTTCTGCTTTAAGAAAAAAGTTAGATTTATCTTTAGATTTCAAAGTAAAAAAATGTTAGACTATCTTTCAAGCAATTTTGGAAGTTTGCATAGACCCATTCCCTTTCCAAAAATATCAGCCATCTCTCTATAGAATCTGATATAAATCGAGTGCGCGCCTCACCTGAAGATCACCAACCTCAATCAACTTTCAAGAAAATAAAACATGATCTCCCCTTCCCCTCCCTCCCCCCACAAAAATATGGGCTCTACTGTTATTCCTTGTGTTTGAGGCAAGTTACGAGGCTCAGCCACACTTCTCGCTCAGAGCTTCACCCAAATTCCTTTTTCATTTCCCAGGTTTCCATGTCCGCTCCCTCCCAATGGGGCGGGGGCGATGCAACGTGGAGCGGCAGAGGGCATCGGGCTCAGGTGGCACGGGTGGGCTGACGGACATGACGCAGCTCTTGGGAGGGAAGCGGTGGGGAATTTTGCCCCCAGCAAGGAAGTGGCTTTTCAAGGACAAACAGCTGCGACCAGGCAGTGTTTGTAGGAACTCGCTCCCGGGGACAGTGAGCCTTGTCCACAGGGCTCAGTCACCAGAGCAAGAACTTGTTCAGCTAGAGACTAGGTGGGGTGGCAGGGGACGGGGCAGGAGGGGCAGAGGGTAAGTCTGCAGCTCCTGGGTAAGGCAGCGAGGAGGGGAGCGTGGGGACCCCTCTCCAGGAGGGGTGTTTAACCTAGTGCTCTAGCGTACCTGGAGTGAGGTTTTCCCAGAGGTTCACAACAGCGCGTGCAGAGTCCAGCTGCACAGCCACCGGTTTAAAAAGAAACAGCAACGACAAAATAAATAAAAAGTCAACCCCTCCTACTAAGATGCAAATGAAATATGTATTTCTTCAGGTCTCGGCCTGGTTTGGAACTCTCTGAAAACTGAAGCAAACGTTTAAAAGGGCTTATTAACTTTCTTCAGGGGGCAAAGTGATGCGGCAATGAGAGGGGGAGAGATGACACGCCTGCTGCCCATCACATCGAGGGTCAGGACAGCGCAAAGGCCCCATTTAAAGTGCCGACCATACAAGAGAAGATGGAGGAGCAACACCCTTCTCCCCTCTTCTTCCATCACAATTTCCAACTGAAACCCATCTCCTTCACCAAGTCACAACTAAGCCTATTCTTTTGGACATTCACCCAGTTTATAATGTTTGTTCTTTTTTTTTAAAAAAAAAAGTTAGTAAAAAAGTTACATTGAATTTGCCAACTCTTTGCAATGGGCTTCCACCAACTAAAGGTCCAGAAACTGAGAGAGCAGAGCCCACATGTTTCTCCTGGCCCCAAGACTGGAGCAGAGAGCCAGCTCTGCTCTCCAGGGTCGGCCAGGCGTGAGCAGCCCTGCTCGCCAGCAGAGACCCAGGGGATGCAGAGTCTTGCCAATAAAGTCCTTTTACTTGTTTAAACCACCTCTGAATCCCCTGAGCAGGGTAACAATGTGGGGAAGAACATCCCCCCCTTCAGCGCCCCAGGAATAAAATATCAATGAAACAATAATGCAGTCAAAAAAACACCAGCCTGCTGGGTTTATAAAAAAAAAAAAATTTCAATAAACTTCACAACAGAAAAAAAAAACAAACCAACAACCCAAAGGAAACTAGCCAGCGGTTTGGGTCTGGAAACTCATTCACTTAAATGTTCGAAGTCCAACAAGGAACAGATGGCAATGCCACAGGGAAAAAAGTGCTCGCCAGACGCAGCTTCCCGAGAGACGGCCGTGGGCCTGCGGGACAAGCAACCCCGCTTCCATCGCTATCGCCTCGTACGCTGACCACCGGCCGGGGACCGCTGGGCATCGCTCTTGTTCGGACGCACAGCGGGAGCTCTGTGTGGGATCTAGAAACAGGAACAGACTGCTCCTTCCTCCCTCCGGGTCTGCTCTGGGTACTCCAGCCCTGGCTGTGCTGCACCAGGCTGAATGACTAGGGCTACTTTCTTATTCAAAATGAGGGGTAGGGGAGCTAAAAAGCTACATAAAGACCAGGATCTGTGGAGTCAATAATAACGTGGAGACAAGGAAGAGATACTCTAGGAGACACATCAAAAATGCAAGCAGTGATGTGCCAAGCTGCTGGAAGAGAAGCCAGAGACGTGCCCAGGTTGGCCACAGCTATGTGATGGAGCAGGTTACACCTCTGCCAGCCCAGGAAGATGAGACCAGCTTTCTGAAAAGCTCAACTGCTTCTTCTCTTGCTTCACTGAGGAGAGATTCCTCTCTCTGTCCCACAGGGGATTTCGTGACATGCTGAGCTGCCAGCACCCCGGAGCAGCCGACTCTTGCCAATGGGAGCCCAGAAGAAAGCCTTGGGTTCCCAACTGCTCTGACAGTGACTGCCATTGTTTTTCATGGGAACAAAAGCAAAGCAGCAGAAGCGAGCTGGGTTTTGGCCTCTTTCCTGGCTTATGTTTGCTCCTCTCGAGTCCTGGTTGGACCTGATTTCCCAAGGAGCTCCGCTGGCCCCTGGGGACCAGCAGGTGCTGGGGAACAGCCTGAGCCTCAGCTCTGCACAGCCGCCTGCAGACAGGGCAGAACACCCCCTGAGCCTGCTTCTGCCCTCACCCTGACCCAAGCACAGCGCCAGGCCAGGCCTGGCTTTCTGGCACAACCCCAGGGAGAGAGAAAAAACAAGCAGTTCTCCCCTTCCTGCAGACACGAAGCAGCCTAGGAACAGGGCAGGATGCTCACCAGCCTGCTAGTGAGTGCCAAACCTACCCAGACTGAATGAAGAAGAGATCACCATTAAAAAACACCAGCAAGTGTGAAAGAGTTTTTGTTCTAAACAGACTGAAAAGATTCAACACTTTTTCCCTACATTGAGCCAAACCAGCGTGCTGTCTGTAGCCCCTTCTTACCCTAATCCAAATTTAATTCCCTTTGAAGGGAAAGGGTGAAAAAGATCCATATCCTATACGTTGTCTGTCCAAATACAGAAAGAAACCTCTTGACTTGAAGAGAGAAACAGTCAAAACAGAGTAAGCAGCTGTATAGCTTTGCCACACTGCCTAGCATCCTCCCCATACAGCCATCCTTAGCTAGCAGGGTGGGGAAAAAAAATATAAATCAAGGCTCTTTAATTCCTTGTTTCTCATTCTGCCAGTATTCTGCCCTTTTCCAGTAGCTCATCTGCATGCATTCTGGCCACAGAGACTACAATTAATCATCTTCCCCCCCCCCACTTTTAAAAAAGGCTTTACAATAACTAAGAATTTGAACAACAATGTGATCAGTTACAAATCTTTCCTTGCTGAATGGGACAAGTGTGTGCCTGCGTGTGTGCATGCACACGTGTGTCAGAGGAGGGCACGTTCCCAGCCATGCCCGGGAGCGTGCATTGCTCTGAGGGCACGGCCGCTGGGTGCTACTACAGTACACCAGCAAAAGAGGAAAGGGCACTACACAGAAATAGCTTATCGGCTGAGAGTCTCTCCAGGAAGGGCTGCAAGCACAGCCTGCTGACAGCCCACAGCTGGAGTCTGCCTAGATCCTCGTTCGCAATTCAGCTGCCAGGAGAACCTGTAAGTGGGAGCTGAACGGGACTGACATCTCTGCCACACACTGCAAGGAAAAGAGGCAGCTAAAGTGTCAAACAACTGCAGAAACCAAACCCAAAGAAGAGCAATTGAAAGATCAACCAGAAAACAGTTTGAAGCCTTGACAGAAGAGTTCACTCGCCACGGAACAGATAAGAACGGCTAATGTGGCTAAAAAAACAGAGAAAACCACCCAGTCTGCCTTTGAAGGCAGAGACAGTGGCTTCTCCCCAGCCCCAAAAGGAACCAGCTCAGGCATAGAACCCTGCTGACAGGGCAAGAAAGGTCAACCAACACCAATTCCCTTACTGGCCCAGGCCAAGAGAGGCAACTGTTAATCACCACGATGGAGAGACCATTGGAGTTAACTGCATCCTGCTCTGGCCCAGGGAGGGCTACTAGATAACCAGACTCTCTTCACACTCCAAGAAGGGCAGTTCCCTTCCGAAAAAAAAAAAAAAAAAAAAGAGGCTTTGTATTCCAAGCTCCTACAGTGACTATTTGCTGAATCGGTCCAGCGAACAGGGATTATGCTCCTGGAACAGCAAGTAGAAGCCTCCTCCAGGTAAAATGTGGAACCTCTAAAGTGCTCCTGCTAATGCTAGTAGATGAACACTGCCCTTCCATGCCCAGCAGTGGAAGGGCATAATGCAGTTAGTGGTATAACAAGCACTAGCATTTAACCGTTCAACTCCCATCTGGATTGTGGTAGTTTTCTGAAATGCACTTTTGGGAGATATTTCCTATGAGAAGAGGACATTTAGGGGTTTGAGGGTAGGAAGGCGAAGTGCACACCATAGCATACCTTGTTCAGTAAAACCGTTGCCTTGGAAGGTGATGTTCCCTTGCAGAGTCAACGGCATAAAGCATCCTGCAAGTGGCCATCTCGCTGTGTCACCAACAAGCAGCTCTTAGTTTGGTTAGAATGGTTTCCCCCTCCCTCAGTGGTTTGAAGAGTTCACAGTGGTATAACCCAACGTTTTGGGGAGACAGAAGCTGAGAAGTCCCCTGTTGCAAGTGAGTGGGTGGAGTGAGGGATGCAGATGAGCAACATCCTCTAGGACAAAGGATAAGTCCAACAGACACCTTGCGTTTGATCAGAAACAGGGGGAAGGCAGGCACTGGAAGAACTGGGAAGTGGAGAAGGGTAATGGCAACGCAGGGAAAGTGCGTGATCTGGAGTGGTCTCGGAGTAGTTCTGCAGTGCAAATGTATGGGGAGGGGTGTGGAGAAATCCCTTCTGGAATGCTGCATGAAGAGAGGTAAAGGTTGGCATCCATGTGGCAGCGGACTGGGTAGGGGGCCTGTTTCCAGCAGCTCTACCCTGTTCTTCATTCACATTTAGTGGGTTTCAATCACCACTGGCTCGTAAACTCCAGATGAGACCCTGGAGAGGCAGAGGAGGGAGAAGATGAGAAAGTCAGGTTATTTTCCTCAGTCACTTAGAGCAAGTGAGTTCTTATTCAGAGTGCTCCACTCACAAACATCACCCTCTAATCCCACACAAAATACTGAAAATAATGAGTCAGTCTGGCGAGAAGTCAAGCCTCACAACACAAACCAGACAGCTATGTGGCAAGCTAACACCAGAGCACTTGAAAGTGCTGGGTGTAACTCATGAATCCGTCTAAAGGACAGAGAAAAGGGGGGAGTATCCCGTGCAAAGATCCAGTGTTCCTGGCTTTGCTTTGCTCCCAATTTTGTCACCAACTTGACACATCTTTGCATTACCATTATTGGTTTTGGTTTTTCTTTTTTACATCTCAAAAGGCTCTGTAAAGGCTCAAACTCAGCTAGCCAAGACACTGTTCTAAAAGCTGTTGTGGCAAGAAAACGTTTTATTTGTTCAGAAGTCTTTTATGAGAGAGCAAGCCCTCGATGAGGATGGAGGAAGCAGGGAAAAGGGACAATAAACCAGGCTGCTGCAGTTTTGCTGCAAGCCAGCAGGAGGCAAAGCTCCCTGCCATCAGTGGGGCACAGGAGCAAACAGGAACCAACTGCTACCATTTCGTCCTTTCACCCCTTACTTCTGTTCTTGGATCTAACAACTAGGATCATATTATCCCTCTGAGCTCCTGCTGAGAACTGCATTCATACTCCAGTGCAGCTGTAGCCTGTCACCAGAGGGATCTCAGGGGTGTTAATGTGGGAATAAAGCCACCATGTGGCACATGATGTTTAGAAATCTCTCCTGTAGCAAAAGGTGAAAGTTTCCCAGGTACAAAGAGATAACTAATGTCTCTGGAGCGCCAAAGTCTGCCGGCCTTTCAGGAAGCCTACCTGTTTCCCAGCTGAATACCACTCAACGTAGTTGTTCCATCTCTGCTCACAAACAACCTCAGGTTACTGTCTGCAGATAGAAAAGGAAGTAAAACATCAAAATCCAGAACTACCGACTGCTGCCAGGTGCTCCCCTCCCAGCTGCATTACACAATGGTCAGCACAGGACCAAGTGCATTTCTGGGAATGCATGTGCACGCTTTCTGGTGTTCCCACAGTAACAGAGCCCCTGGGAACACTTCTTCTTGCTCTGAAAGGGAGCCCCACGTACAAATCAACCACAGCATTAAGCTTTGGAAGAGTAAATGCAGAGGAATTAATTCAGTGATACTCCTCCAGCTACTTCTTTTAAGGCAATTCCACTGATGCAAGCTCTCGGACAGCTTAAACATGTGAACAGACAAGATGTGAGATCTCACGCTGCTTTTGTAGGCTCACTGGAGGAGAAACTCAGCCTGTTCTGCTGGTGAAAGGTGGCTACATTCAGTCTAGTTTTAACCCATACTGAGCAAGGTGTAAATCCCCATATGGTAAGAACATTGCCATATGTGATGATTTAAGGTGACTAACTACAGAAGTACTAACAACAAGCTAGGCTCAGGTTTAAAACGCATCAAAAAACCCCTCGACTAGATGAAAAAGATTGATTTCTAGGCTAAACTAGAAAATTTAAACAAATGCAGTGATATTAGTTTTCTCTTAACAGATACTGTGACTGCAATGGAGAAAATCCCTTCTTAGGCTCTCGCAACGATCTGATGGCCCGTGACCCATCTTTCTTCAGAGATGTGCTGTTTTCCCTCCAGTTGTGCTCTCCTACTTTCATAGAATCATAGAAAGGTTAGGGCTGGAAGGGACCTTCAAAGGTCATCTAGTCCAACCCCCCTGCAAGGAACAGGGATATCTCCAACTAGATCAGGTTGCTCAGGGCCTCGTCCAACCTGGCCTTGAACGTCTCCAGGGATGGAGCATCCACCACCTCTCTGGGCAACCTGAAATTGTTTATTATTTTTAAAATTATTTTTAAAATTATTTATTAATTTACTTTAATAAATACCCTTGGGCTGACCCTGCACAAAGGCCACTAGAGCAGTGCAGACAGCTGATGAAACTGATTTCCACTGCACTGAAGAACTGGTGTTTTTCACAGCTCATCCTGTACGTTTGAGCTACCATTCAACCTCTGCTGTCATCTGTAGAACAGCAGCAAACACTATTTGCTAACGGATTTGTAGCTCTCAAATCCACATAGTTTGTTTACCTACCACAGAAACACCTAGCAAGCACTGAAAGCAAAGTGCTGTCAAAAGGAGAAAGGAGTCCATGGCAGGTTAGATCTGACTGTGAAAGCTTGGCAGCCTTGCTAAAAGAACAGCCGAGACACCCCTTCTGAGACTACTCCTCTCACCTTCAGTATTGCTGACATCTGTGAAGTCCTGACTCTGCATTATTTTCTCCACTATATCATCAGCATCGATCCTGGTGTCATCCACTCGGGTTGGGTGACTCTCTACTGAATCCTTTTTCCTCCTGGGGAGAGAAAATAAATGGAAAACTTACTCAGCTTTTCAAGATGCAGACTTCCATATACTCTCCTGCTTCTCTTGGCAATAGCCTCCTTCTCAGCAGCTACAATCCAACCTACTGCTACATGAAGACAAAGGAGTAGATTCTGTCTCCCCTTCCCAGAGAAGGAGCTTTGCTCCACAGTTACTTACCGGGAAGGTCTATCCAGCAGAAGGGCTGGTCTGGGGGGGCGAGGTGGCTTCTCAAGTTTGTGGTCCCGCTCTCCCTCAGGACACTCCACCGTCATACTCAGCCCTCCAGATGCACTGCTGCTGGTGGAAGTATTCCGGCGATGGGTCAGGTCGGACATACTAGAAGAACGGGAGTGCTCTGTGCTGTAACCTGCAAACACAGAGTGATTAAAGCCAGATCTTCTCCCCTTCCTGGCAGCACAGTTAACAGGCAGGGCAGCTTGAAAACAGCATTTCTGCTCCCACATACCGAGGTTTAGACATACACCTATAAGCTCATCTGCAGAGACTAAACAGGAGAGTGACATTACAGAGCAGGGCGAGAGAGATGGCTGCACATCACTCTCACAAAAGTGACTGTAGGAAAGAAAATGGATGGGGCCCGTGCTGGCAGAACCGTGCGGATCAATGGTTACCAGAGATCTTGGACTGCTGGCTGGCATAGCTGGAGTTTCGCGAGTGCCCCGAGTGGAAGACTTCCTCTGGGCTGGACAGGTTCTGATCCGGTTCTTCTGGGACACCTGCCAGGGAACAACAGGGCACTCCATTTATGCTGTAACCAAGTCAGCACAGTGCCCGCTGATCACCTTGGGCTGGAGGCTGATCTTGGAACACTAGGTGAAGGAAAGGACAAGTCTGTTGGCAGAGCCTTGCTGCACAGGCTAGCACAGAGATAAGAAGCAGCTGGGGACCAGGGAAGACGATAGTGAACTTCTCCGTCAAGTTTATCACTAATCCCAGCATCCAGTGCCTGAATTCTCAAGCACCTCTGGGGGCTTAAGGATCTAGAAGGACAGGTAGTGTCTGAAGCTATCCATAGTTAAAAGCATTAAGCTAAGACCAAGAAAGTATCAAATGGCCACTGGCAGTAAAGCATTACAACCTCTGTCTGGGTGCTTCTCCTGTTACTATCTTTCCCCTTCTATCACTGGTGAGAGCACCCATGCCATTTAAATCACATCTGAATACAGATGATACAGAAATATTGATATTTCCTGATACAGAAACCTCGGCATAACCTTTGCTCCTTTGCCATCGTCCCTGCTTGTCTCTCTCACAGGAAGCTTATCCAAAAGTGCACAAGTGTAACACACTAGCCAGCTTTTTAAGAAGAGCACTTGCACAGAGTGCGAAGTCACTGAGGTGATGAGACTAGAGTGCTATTTTGGTGCAGTGTATCGCCTGCTCATTTGGAATGTGCTGGGAAGGAAAAAAAATCTATGGGAAAATGCAGTGCCCTTGAAAATGGGCTCATACAGAAGACAAAGAACTCTGCATCAGCAGCTGGAACAAGGCCATTAGACCTCAAAACCAACCTCTAAAACCTTCACAGGAACTTTTCTAGAAGATAAGTCTAAGAAACAGAATAGCTGAGTGGTGAACAATGTTAAGTGTCATTGAACACAGCAGACAGCAGGGATGAGTGCAATACATGAATTATTATATCCCCAGTAAAAAGAACAAATTGCTTCATCTCTACTAACAGAAACATGCATGTGGCAAAGATTCATCCTTCCTTTCCTCAGATGCACTTAATAGATGGCTTTGTTTTTCTCAGTTTTCTTAATGAGCAGAGGGGTGAGGATGGGTGTGGGAAAACATGAAAAATTAAAGAGTTTCTGTGCTTGCAACTGCTGGGAAAAACAAAAGAGTGTCCAGGCACAGCCAAGCATTGCATGGCTCCAGGACAGGCATTCATACCCGAGCTGAGAATGGCAGCTCTTGGCTTGGTCTGACGCAGGGAGCCAATCGTGGCTGAACTGCTGCTGCTGCTGCTGGTGGTTCCCTCGCCCTTACAGGTCAGCTGCAGGGTAGAGTCCTGTCCCGGTATGGTGATGGATTTGGCGGTGGAAGGAGGCCTGTAATCAGAAGTGAAGAAGGTTAGAAACTGCCAGGCAGGGGCCAGGAATTACCCCACTGCGCTGGCAATTCCCACTCTGTTCTATCAAGAGGGTTCCCCCACCTGCCCCTACCCTTTGTGGCGGGGGGAAGCTGGCAGCCCTCTGCAATTAGTGGCACAGAGTGATACTGGATTTTGTTTTCCTACAGGCAAGACTCGGGTCTTCCCTACCTTGTACTGCATACGGACTGCATTACAAGGAAAAGCAAGTTTCTGAGGTAAATTAAAGAAAAAAGGGACCATTCAATTATTTATACAGGACAACAGGCTCAGAGCCTGCACTATCCTCCAGAAGACCATCCAGAGCTGCCCTTTTCCTCCAACATGTGTCCAGTGGCCAGCTGGCTTCACAAACAGGAACCAGTTTGCTGTTGTTCAGCTCTCAATTCCAGCACCCTTTCATTACACCTTTCTGACTCGGGTCAAAGAGAAACCTTTTATCCCAGCAACCTCAGCTCCCTATGAGAATACTTTCACAATGATCAAATAACTTTCCCATTTTTTAACTGATGATTAAACTCCTTTCCAGTGAGACTAAAGTGTTTTTCCAGCTGTCGAAATTATTTTTCTGGTTATTCTGCGTGCTCCCAACATCCCTTTGTAAATGCTGACTGCAGGGCAGAGCAGTGAGTGCCTGGAGCCCCCTCCCTTCCTCCAGAAATGTTTTTGGGTGGAAGCCACGGCATGTGCAGTGTGGCAAAGTGAATATTCCTGTCGCAGCCCTAACCTCCCTCTAGCCCTAAGTCTGAACTGGAACTAAGGGATCACATTATGCTTTTTAAGTGAGGAGTCAGAAAGAAAAACTTCTATTTGTCTCACTTGGAGCTCTGAGGGAAGATGCTACATAAGAGGACCTTTGCAGTATTTTGGGAGAAAAAATAAAGCACTGAGAATATTTTACATGGGCAGCCAAACAGCCATAGAGGTTTCAGGAAACCCACAGCGTGCCTTCACCAGGAAAAAAAAACAACCTCTCTAATCACGTTATCACTGATTTACACACAGCCGGGTACTCTGGGGACTTTGCTTTGCAGGTTAATAAGGTCTTTACAGCCTTAATCAAACAAAATGTTCCCGCAGCAACTGTTGGAGCAGCCCGTAGCTCCATCAGCTCAGGAAAACAGCCTGCCCTGCCTCCTGCACAATGCCCAGGAGGAGAAGATTCATCTGAGTGCTGCAGAAAGTCAGTGCTCGGAAGCAATTTCCCAGCACAGTTTAATTCCTGCCTAATCCCCTAATGAGTGCCATTTCTCAAAAGCTCTACTGATTAAGGACTATTCTACATGCAAAGCTTCCATTTTTAGACGTTTGCACATCGTCAACGTATAAGGAAAAAACGGGAATGACTGCAAAAATCCTTTAAGAAAATTAGGAGTTTTGACTTTCAGACTGCCCTTACTTATATTAAATGGATATACATGTCCAATTCTGTATAATTTTCAGGCACTCTAACAGTGGGACTTGCTTCCACAGTGAAGGCGCAACAGGTATTTTTGTCAGACATATTATTGCCAGATACCCTAGTACCCTAGATTTAAAACATCTGTTACTGTTACAAAGTTATGGTTTAAAATATCCAAAACTTCTTTACTACACTTCCTTCTGAAGCAGAAATTTTTCAGAATCAGATGACATTGCATTTAGGGTTTGAAAGTCTCAGAAAACGCTGCAGCACTATGAAAAGCCATTCACAAAATAAATCAACCAAAAAATTATGTAGCATTTTATAACGAAAATGCAAGCTAATTTACACACTTCAACCTAGATCCTAAAATTAGCCCTTTTAGCCCAGAATACCACTACTACAAGAGATGGCCCCAAGGTAAAGCTTTCTTCTCTCACACTGCTGGGAGTCAACACAAAACATTTATATCAGCACATGGCACTCCTGTACAGCCACGCACCTCACAGCACACTAGGGCAGGCTGGCTCGGGCTGCGGAGCTGTTCTGCGGTCCGAAGGTACATGTTGCTGGTGTATTTGTTAGTTGATCCCTCAACAACTCTTTAAGCCATAGAACTGCTTCATAGCTTAACTGTATTTATTCTTTCCTATCATGATGCATTAAAAAGCACATGATTGCAATTTCTCTGCTAATAAACACAGTGAGCCTGGGTCCCTGTAGAAAAAAAAAAAAGAACTAAAACCTTTCAGCCTTGCAGTATTTTTGTTACTGTTTCAATTCAAGATCTTCATGCTGTGTGATAGGTGCTGAAGTGCATCCATTTCCAAGACTATTTTCTTCACTGACCTTTCCCTTCTTGGAAGTCAGCGAAACCAACCCCAGGGCTATGAGAAATTCTATCCTTCATGCAAGACATGAAGTTTGTTATCAACGTCCATTACTTTCCAAAACCTAACTGACACTAGCAGCGAAAATACTGGCACAACCAATAACCAAGCTGGGAAAACCAGAGCAGAGAACAAACCACCCAACAGAACAGGCTGGCTTAGCTATTCTGGCTGATTCAACAATCCAGACCACCAGTTTCAAACTTTCCTCTGTACTTTCCAACATCAAGGGCATCTTTTCCCTCTCCCCATCAATTTTAGTCTCCAGCAGAGAATGGCAAAAGAACCAGGTGTCCTGGTCTGCCCATAATGAGGAGAGCACTCAGAAACTCACGTTTTGAAGCAGGGGTCCCCCGAGAGCAAGGACATTCCGATTGTGACCTGGAGAGGAAGGAAAAGGCACATTGTTAGCCACGCTGTGGTGAGCTCCTCACTTTCCAACAGCCAGGAGGTCAAGAACTAGGTGTAAAGATTAGCAACACCTAGTTCCTTTCCAAAGGAAATCAGCTTCAGGGATTTAGCAAGGTACTCCTCCCCTCTCTGCCCCAAATCAATGGCATGAGGAGTTCCAAGTTGCAGTGGCTCAGCACATCAGCCTGGCTACCCTGACGATATTCTTGGAACTTTTTCCCCCCCTCCTGTTCACACTTTCTTTAATGACAAAGAACGCTGTCGAGGGCCATCGCTTGGCCAAATGGATGCCAAGATATCAAAAGGCAACTCTGATAACGAGAAACTTCCCAAGTCAGACTAGGACCATAAAAGCAAAATCCTGTCAGGGTACAGAACGCGACTTTCTCTCAGGCCCAGCACTGCACTCTGGCTGCCATCCTTCCCAATTCAACAGTAGGATTTCCATTGTAGCAGCACCAGCTGCTGTACCTTTAGTATGGAATTGTCCTGTCGGGTGTTCTTTGTATCATATCCTTCCAGCAAGCAGCAACGGACAGTGGATCCAGAGCCCGCAAATTCTGCCAGATTTAGATCAGCAAAGCCCAGCTGTAGCCAAGAAAACAATAGAAGGGAAGGGGAGAGAACAAAAATCACTCAATAAAGGGACACACGGTGTCACACAGACCAAAGGAAGAGAGTACATCTGCAGGGGCAGAAACAGAAGCCAGTATGCACGTAGTTGTGGCTGTGAAGACCCCTTACTCTCAAAGATGGGCAGGGTCACATTCCTAATCCCAAGCCAGGTGGACATGGAGACCTTCAGGAAGCCAGCCTGGTGCAGAGGAAGGAGGTACAGTAGCAGTGCTGGCCAGGACGGTGTTAACCAGCCCGCAGTGGTTGCATAACCAAGGACATGGAAAGCACTAGGTCAATGATGTGGAAAAAACAGAATCACATACACACAAACATAATAAGGCACGCTTTGTATCGGGCCACCCCAGAATGCAGTGGAGCATGTGAACCAGGAGATGAAAGGATATTGTTACAGAGGAAAGTGACACTGTCCTGAAAAACAACACCGAGACTCTCAGCACAGCAAACTGGAAGTCCAGAGCCACGCAGCAGGGCATATGCCTCACTCCACAGATGCAGCTGCTGGGCTGGGGGGCTCCTGGAGTAAAGCTTCCTCAACGATGCTGAAATTTAACTAGCAAGTGGTATGTTTGACAGGCAGAAGGGAAGAAAAATATTTGTAGAGATCTAGTTGTCAGCCCTCTAAACCTTCTCTAACAAAGGGGAAGCAAATAGGGAAGGCGACAGAAAGGTGGAGATTACAGGCAAATTCAAAGAGGGTACTGATGCCTCTAGAGTAAAGACAAACACAATGAAGGGTACTTTTTTTTTTTTCTGCTCTAATTCCTGGTGTATGAATACAGTGTTTTCCTCAAAGTAAAAGCTTCTTTTACGCAGAACTTTAGCCTCAAAAGTCAGTCGTGTCTCATCTAATCTGATGAGGAAGCGATGCTGTACCCCATATTTGGCCAAATCATCCAAGCATGGAAAGTCTGCATCACTTCAAGTCAGCTGCCATGAGAACACGCAGAGAAGGTGGAGAAGTAGCAGCTCAGGCTTAGCTGTTACTCTGTGCATTGCAGTATATTTCTTCTGCCCCGGTGTTGACAGCCAGATGATACAGCTAAACTGGGAACCTCGAACAGAAGCACCATCCTAAGGAAACGTGGTGCCCTGTCACTGTGGAAGCTGATAGGGAGTTACAGTACAAACCACAGGCACTGCTGTATGAACCCTGGCTCCCACTGGTCCAAATCAAAAGTCTAAACCACAGTCTGCACAAGATGTATGATTTAGGGGAAGACAGCAGCAAGGTTAGTACAGCTGCTTCCTCCATCCCATTCTCAAAGGCATGAGCTGACGGCAAAGGAAAAAAAAAAAGTGTGGGATAGAGCAGGAACCTTTCTTCAACAAAAAAAAAAGGGAAGGAAAAAAAAAAAATCTTTCTCCCTCTTTTCTCCCTTCTTAAGAATTCCCCTCACGTAAGTGTTTCTCCAGCCCTTGCTGTAGATGACCCTGTGTCTCTTCCAGCAAGGGTTACGCTGCTTGCTGAGTTTTCACCGATAAGGAAAAACCAGTGAATTTTTATCTCTCGGAGATAAACAGGGCAGGAGAAAGCCACAGAGCGAGCTGCAATCCATCAGCATGACAAAACTGGAGGACAGAGGAGACACGGCACAACCACACCAGCAGAACAACATGGCACAGGAGTGGTCCAGCGCTAGATGCCTCTTTCTCCACCATGGCTCTCAATTCTCCAAGAAGATCAGCACAGGAGGATGCAGTGTGGGAGAACACTCCAGTGACCCACACGGCATGCCGAGGCCAGAAGCTCTTCTCAGGAAGCAGACTCCCAGTATATAGAGGAAGGATCCCTTCACAAAAGGATGTTTTCAGATATAACCTTTCAGAATAGTTTCCTC